TTGCCAGTTAAACAGAAGACCCAATACTATTATGGGCTACTGGACTCTTTTAGAATATTTTGCTGAGTTTACACACCTATAATATTCAATAACGAACTTAGAAAAAATGGGATATACCTATGAATGTCCATTTTGTATGTGTGTATTCAAAGTGGTTGGGACAGATATATAGTTACATTCTCTTAACCAATAGAATATTTGTTCTAATGGTGTTTGTAAATAGGATTACAAGTCCGCATCTTGTACAGCAATTAACCACTAAGAAGAATATATGCAGTGTATTATTTGTTGAAACTGTTTTAGCGATTTGATTTGAAACTGTCTCATTGCTATCTGGTTATCAATAAAATTTTGAAAAAGAAAATTAGAATATTAGAAAAACATATGAAAAATATACTTACTGTGCTTTTTTATGTTTTGTTTTAAGGAGTTGAAATTACCATTCACTTTTTTAAGTGGACATATTCATGAATTGAGGATTCATGTACCATGGACAAAACTGGGTTCAGAACCAGTAGTAATTACCATCAATACAATGGAATGCATTTTGAAACTTAAAGATGTAATACAGGTAAGGAATTATTGATCCTAGTTCTTTATTTTTCTCAATATTAATAGGTATGACGTTTGACATGTCTTAACCTTTGGAATGTTGGTTTTCAGATAAATCTTTTTTTTTTTTCTTTTGCTCCCAATGCCTTCAGGGCACAATTGGCTGGCTTGAGTTCTGGGGATCGAACCACAGCAACCTGAGCCTGACTGCTTTGTTGAAGCAGCCACTTAAAGAACTGAGCTAAGGGGCAGGCCCCCTGATAAATCTTATTTTATGTACTTCTTGCGTATGTATTAAAGTAACATTTACAAAAGGGTGTTTTTAAATTTGGGTAAACATTTAAAGGACGTTTTCATACAAATTTTGCTTAGTCCTTCATAGCATTAGTAGACATCATATAGTTTGCTTATTACCTTTATCCACAATAGAAATGAGGCTCAGTTAGGGATAATTTTTACATTAAGATTTTGGAATGGATTTGTATGGATTTTTATATAAATACATTTCAAAATTAGCCAGTTTTTTCAGGCTTTTTTTGGGGGGGTGGTAGGGGTAAATAAAAATATATCTACTTTACAGATTTCATTATTGCTTTTAAACTTGTGGTATTAGAAACTGCTTATTTCAGATATTTCTTCTCTGATGCTTCTCACATTTTTAATTTTTTTTTTTCCTCAGAGGTATATTACTAGATTTGAGGCATATCTGCCAAAATCTTTCTTTTTTTTTCTTTTTTTGGGCACTGGGGATCAAACTCAGGATCTCATGCTTGCCAGGCAGGTGCTTATGCCACTGAGCTATCTCCCTGGTCCAAGTTTTCTAATCTAAGAAGCAAATGGGTCAGGACAGCAGCATTTTGTGAAGAATGTTTTCACTTTCATCTTGTGAAAAAGGAGTGTATTTTGGGGGCCTGCCCATTAGCTCAATTCTTTAAGTGGCTGCTTCCACAAAGCAGTCAGGCTCAGGTTGCCATGGTTAGATCCTCTTAACTCTAGCCATCCAAACCTGCCCTGAAGGCATTTGGAGGAAAAAAAAAAAAAGTAGTGTATTTGTCATTTTTAATCCTTGTTCCTTAGCACACATTTAACATTTACCTTGTAGTTTTAAATCAGTTAATATTTTTAAATGACCTCTTGTAAGAACCATAAGGTAATTTTAGTATATCCTAAATATAGCTTTAATCTGTATTAAGTTAGGGTTATTTATGAGGTATTACAAGTATTGTTTTAAGTAGCTACTTTGTTGTATCAGCTCATTGGACTCAGGTAATTTTTTTCCATTTATGAGACCTTGGATCCTGAGCTTGTATTATCCGAGTTCCTCAAAGTAAGCAGGCCAATATTACATGTTTATGAAAATTTATTTTTAAAACATTCAGTATTTCAGAAATTTATTTAGAATTTGTAGTTGTATTACAGCAGTGTTTTATTTTACATTTATATTTGGTAGTACTTAAATGATTATTTCATCAACATCTGTTATTAACATTTAGTATATTTTTTGCAAGTCTGGACTTGGTTATCCCACCCACGTCGTACTCCACAGTAAAAAAAAAAAAAAAAAAAAAAGGAATAAAAACACTAAGTAGTTTTTCATTTGGAAGGTGGTAGTGTCAAGACCAGATGTCCTATCAGAAACACATTTTAAAAGAGATAAGTTACAACTAATTATAGAGGCTGCTGAAAAAGATTTCTAACACATGATTTAGTGCATTGTAGAATTAATATTTGATATTGGCCAAGCAGATGGCTACTGCAGAAATGATCTGATTTCCTGCTTGGATGGTATTTCAAACTTGATTTTTGTAGTGTGTAGAACAAAAGGTCAAATGTCAGGAGTGTACTATTAAAAAAGTGTCACGAATGTGCTGTAAAAACAAGTACTTTTTGCAGATGTTTAAAATTTTGGGGTAGAAAAGATTTTTGAAATTGCAGTTGACATTTGGACAAATTATTTAGCAGTGTATGCCTCTGGAGAATAATACTCAATTTTATAAAGTGATTGGAATTAAATTTTGAATAAAGACATTGCAGATGAAACACATTTTAAAATACTATTTTTTATTTTCAGAATTTGTCTTGATTAGCATACCATAGAATAAAAGTAAGATTGTGGACATAGTAATTTAGTTGAATAGCTCCATAATTATATTATCTAAAGTTTTATAGATGTTGAAAAAACTTATTTTGTAAATAAAATTGTGGTGAGATGATAGCTTACATGAAAGGGGCCTTTAGAATTACAGGTCTGTAGATACATGGAAAAAATATTAGCAGTAATATTGGGGAATATGTTAAATATGATTAAAAGAAATAATAGGTTCAATTTAGATCATTAGAAGAATATGAAATTGCTAAATGCCTTGACAAGAAGGTACAGGGTACTTTGTAATGTTGAAGCTAACTCTATCAACATTTGTTGATTGCTTAGTTTATAATTCACTGAAAAATATTGCTGAGGTTTTTCTTTTTTTTCAGAACCGGGGGTTGAACTCAGGCCCTTGTGCTGCCAGGGAAGGGCTTATTCCACTGAGCCATCTCCCCAGCCTTTTTTTTTTTTTTTTAAAGTTTTGAAAATCTTTTATTTATTTGACATAGGGTTTCACTATGCAGCATGGGTCATGGCCAGCACTGTGTGCCCAGGGTTCTGGGGTCACCATTGCATGTGGTACTGGGGATTCAACCTGGGTGCTTGTGCTTGTCAGGCAGGTGTTTATAGACTGCTGAGGTATTTCCCCAGCCCCCTGCTGAGGTATTTATATAATCTCAGCAAAGGATACTTAGAAAAATTTTACAATGCTACATTGTGACTTTTGTGATTCTGATTATAACATACTACCTGCCGTAACATGTTATTATAATCTGTTTTAATTGTAGTTATTTTTGGAATGAGAAAGTGATTGTCTTAGGCAAAATAAAGTGTACCTGGGGCTGGGGAGATGGCTCAGCAGAATAAGTGCAAGGGCCTGAGTTCAATCTCCAGTTTTGGAAAAAAAAAAAGGTACCTTCATAGTCACTCAGAATTATTTTTAATAATTAAAACTTTTTTAAAACTTTATTAACTGTTTGCTATTTTTTACATCATGTCCATAGGTCCTAAAGATTTTTTTTTTATCATTTTCTGTCTAAAGTTTAATTTTTAATTTTTAATTTTTTTTCTTTTTTTGGCCTTTTGAGACAGAATCTTGTTATATATTTCAGGCAGGCCTTGGACTCACTATGTAGCCCAGACTGGCCTTGAGCTTGCAGCAATCTTTTTGCTTCAGCCTTCTGAGTGCTGGGATTTTATGGTGTGCTGCACTACTCCCAGCCTTAAGTCTATTTTCTATTTGAGTTAATTTTGTATCTGATGGTGGGTTTAGGTTGGTGCTTTTTTTTCTTTTTTTTTTTTGGTACCAGGGATCAAACTCAGGACCCTGTGCAGCTGAGCCATATCCCTGGCCCCTTGAATTGCTTTAGAACCTTTGTTGAGCATGTCGATGTGGATTGATTTTTCGGTTCTCCTGTTTTATTGATCAATGTGGTTGTTGCTCCATCAGTGTCACACAGTTTTGGTTACTGTAGCTGTATAGTAAGCCTCAGCATCTGAAATAGTGATTCATTTTTTTTCTTCAGAATTCTTGCTTATCCTAAATATATCTCCTTTCTTATAAAATAAACTTTGATAGGGATGATGGCCTTAAATGTATAGATAATTTTTTGGGAACTAACATTTTTGTCATGTTGTGTTTTCCAATCTGTGAACACAGTATACCTCTCTATTTAGATTGTTACTGATTTTATCGTTAGCTTTCTATTTTTGTCATCATATACATCCTTTATGTTTTATTAGATTTACATCTTCTTTTGAAGCATGTACAAATATTGTGTGTTTAATTTTAGTGTCTAGTAGTTCATTGTTACAGAAATGCACTTTTTGCATTGATCGTGTGTCCTGTGACTTTGCCTATTTTAATTTTATTAGTTTTCTGGAAGATTCCTTTTGGATTTTCTATCCAGGTAGTGACTTCATCTAAAGTAGAAATGGTATCATTTGCTTACAGTCTGTATGCTCTACTACCACCCTTTATAATATTGTTAATATTTACATTTCTTGGACTGGGGATATAGCTCAGTAGCACAGCATTTACCTATTAAGTGTGAGGTCCTAAGTTTGATCCTTAGTACAAAAA